GTACTATATTAGTTAATATATATAATAATGCCTGCATCTGTAATTTTCACTCCATGCATCTGAAGAAGTGGTTTTTTTAACCCACAAAAGCTTATGCCCAAATAAACTGGTTAGTCTTTGAGGTGCCACCGGACTCCTCGTTGTTTTTGTGGATACAGACTAACACGGCTACCCCTCTGAATGTTCTATAACGGAATCTACAAGGCAGATAAAGTTTATCCTATTTCCAGGCATGTGGGGGCAGTAAAATCCACATACTGTGTATAATGTCAAGCTTTATATTTCTATTGGGGCTGGAGGAAAATTTCCAAACTTCTTTACTAAGGGCTTGTCTACACTATGCAGCTTTTAGCGACAAGGCTGTGTCGACACAGCCTTGTCGCTAAAAGTCAGCGTGTGAGAACACTCTCTGTTGGTATTTTGTCGGCACTTTTGCCGACAAAATATCTCCAGCCCCGCAAGCGGCATAAGCTTTGTCGGCAGGAGAGCGTTCACACTGCTGCTTGCGTCAGACAAAAGTTTTGCCTTTGGTGGGGGGGGGGGGAGAGCTTTTTAAAGTACCTGCGAAAGACAAAAGTTTTGGCGACAAAGTCGCAGTGTAGACAAGCCCTAAGAAAACTGAGTTACATCTCTTAGAATTTCCCACAAGAACACCCAGGGATACTAGTCCCCTTTGGGAACTGATGGACTGCAACATTTAAAGTTTCTCCTCTTTTAAAAGTGAAGATTTATCTGCGTGCAACAGAACAGAGCGTTTTTTTTTTTAAACTATAAAAAACTTTAAAACAACTGGAAAACACTATAACTTTTAAAGTTTACAAATCAGCTGTAAACAGATATTTTAACAATTTTAATTATAGTGTTAGCTGCAGGCATTGTTGGTAATGGGAATAGGATCACACCCTGATGTCCATTATGCATGATTAGGTCCTTAGAGAGCAAAATTTCAAAGCAATACAATTGAGCTGAAATCTAGAAAGCATCAGCCTTAAAAATCACTTGCAGCAAAGTGTACTGTGTATTTCAGACTGGAGGGAAAAAAAACCACATTCCCAACTTAAAAAAGCCAAATTAAGAAAATCCTCACTAGCTTAGATATTTCTCCTCAGTAACAAATAAAGATGATTACTATAGGATTCTTTTACCCAAGGAATGTGTGTGTCTAAGAATTTAAACTTCATATATCTAAGTTTCCAAGTCTTCACTGACATTCATGAATATGACTTTTGATAAGCAGAGGATATCCTGCATTAAGTTCTGCTTTCATAGCCAAACCCATGCAGCCTGAAATAAGAATCTGCAAATTATTACATACAGGAATGAATGTTTAATTACAGTAAACAAAATAAATAAAACAACAACAAAATCAATGTTGTATTCTCCAACCAAACACTGACACAGATACCAACTAGCAAGTCCTAGAGTAAACAAAATTCATGAAATATTTTGTCAAATAATTTGGAATCATACACATGAGAAAAAAAATATCACAAAGTATTCATGAACGTTGCACAAACAAAGTGAGGTGAAATTTGAATAAATAGTTGTTACAAATAATATTTCCAGCTTTAACCAGTACACAGGAAACTTTTTCTTTACATTTATCTATGAATAACAACTTTGTTTACTTGGACCCAGAAGGCACTGTAGTGCAAGTTTATAAAAAATTTTAAAGAAAAAGAAATGGAAAGACTAAAAAGGGCAGACACAGAAGAGTACAAAAAGGTACAGAAAGAACAAAAAATCAGAACAAAACAAACCCCACCACTACACAAAGACACCGAAACACAGGCAGCAGTGTCAATACTGTATTTACAAACACTAACTTTGTTCTCCTCTTACCTAGGGAAGAATTACACACACACACACACACACACACACACACACACACACACACACTACTTTATTTAG